AAAATTTTGAATGCTTATCCTTTCCACCCCGGGAGCTGGCCCGCGGAAGGCAGGAGATGGCTCTCTGTCTACACCGGTATATTGCCATTCGGATAAAAAAGAATCCTTCGTCTGCGCTGGCATGATACGTTTAGGGCCAGTCAGCTGCACTGAGTGCTGGTTTCCGAAGCCTCCAAGTTTTGCTTTTTCCACTTGGGAGGTGGAGTGGGGGGTTGGTGGAGGGTGATAGGACAAATCTATTGCACCAATGGGATTTTCTGCTCAGGTCTCTGGCTCAGAACGCCTCTTATCAAGCTTTGCGATGTGCCGCAAATCCTCGGTGTGGTCACTTTGCAAATGATGTGCTTACAAAAGGCGGATAGCGAACTGGATCACAGCCGCAAAAGATGTTTTTATTTCCAAGCCATACCAATTCTAGTTTACGCTTGCGTGTCCAGCTGACAATTTAGAGACGCCAAATCTTTTTTTAGTGTTGAGCCTTTCCTGCTAGCGCGCAACTTTACAGGAGTCGCTACCGAAAGAGTAATTAGCGGGGGTAGCGTCAGCGATCAAGGGCGCACGGTTCACACAGTTCGACACTCATTGGCATGTCCCTTGGCGTTTTTTTGTTACATCAATAGCTAAGTTTGCCTGTGTAACATATAGCAGGGTTGTTGTACATGGTGTTGTTGATTGCACGTTGTGCAGGAAGGTTCGGAACGGATTGGACAAGGAACCGGCAACCTAAGTGTGCATTGATGTTTGGGTTGCAATTGGCCCCGGCCAGGGCTTCAGGCTCAAGATACTTTATTTGCAGTTTCCCCCGGAATGAAACCGCCATGTGCGACACCTGTCGCACATTTGCTTCTGGTCCATTCACTTTGTTTTGCTGCCACTTTCGCACGCGATGAAAGCCACCTGGCCGAACACAGAAATTCGATTTGCGAGCTCCTCTGTTCAAATGAATCGAAGTCAGCGTTTTGAGCACGGCTGTTGTTCTTGGGAAGTGCGTCGCGAGTTTTTGTAAGGGCAACGTGCTGGTTGAATTTCGCCAGGTAAAACAACATGTCTAGTGCAGCATCGCGCCAACTCTTCGAGAAGCTTCGCAGATGTGCAGGAGGCAGTGTGTATAGATTTTAGTGGATGAGTGAAGCTTTTGCTTGCGAAGAACAACGTAGGATGTTTGACGGGAACATGTTTGCATCAGTACCATGTGCTGGAGGATCTTCCATTTTCACCGTATCAGAGGAGTTGCCGGGGCCTTGGACTTTTTTAACATTGCACGGCAGAGCGAATCAGGTCGTCCATCATATTTTTGTAGGCCAGCTACTATTTGGAGCAGGCACACATGTTGTTGCTAATCACATATGCGGGGTCCAAGCCACCAACGTGCTCCGATCAATTTTGTTTGAGTTGGTGTGCAAGCTTGGTTGGAGTTGCATCACCCCGTTGTCATCCATACGAACTGAAATCGTTTACATTGCACGCCGCATTGCGGATTTGAATGGATATGGGTTTGAGCTGGATGCTATGTTCAAGTTTGGGTACCAAGATACCTAGATTCTCACGATTGGCACCGTGACATTTTGCTGAGCTGAATCCTGTTTGCTGGGAGCAGCTGCTTTTGTGTCTGTTGATATGTTTGTCCAGTGTTTAGTGGGAAAGCGGTGTTGCAAGCCGTCACGTCCTGTGTGTCCGGGATGAATCACCAAGCTACCAATTCACCGGTTTGGAACGCAGCGCACAATGTCATCTTGCCAACCCGGCCCAAGTTATCGTTCACAGTTCTTGGCACATTCGTGTTTTGGAAGTTCGCAAGGTGAAAAAGGTTTTCATGCTTGTTAAAGCAGCTGGAGTTGCGAGAAAGACTCCTGGACATCAGGGTTTTGTCAGTGCTCCAAGAAGATATAGGCTGGGAACCCCCAAAGAAGGAACAATGCCATGATAAACAGCGAAATTGGACTGAACCGAGGCATCCGCCAGTATGCTTCCACTGTAGATGCCGATGTGCCTGGTTTTGCCACACGCTTCGGGTTACGACCCTCGGTTCACCTTTGTTTCTACATACTCAGATTTTTTTTTTGGATTGGCGCCTGAATCTAGGACATGTCGGCCCAAAATGGGCCATGCTGGTGCAAAGTACTGATGGTTCACTGTAGAAGTGAAAGTCATTGATTGAAACGCGCCTCTACATCTTGCATCCTATTCCGGGAATATGCAAACGGATGGGATTTACACAAATTTGTCCTCAGCATCTGTTTTTGTCTTTGTATGATTCAGACAGCCAGGGTCTTTGCAAAGCAAGGACTGCGATTTCTGGATTCGGCAAATTTCCAAGGAAAAACATCCCAAACATGTGAAGTCAAGCTCTTCAAAAAGTCAGATGTTGTTCGGATTTTCTTGACATGTCGGGTTGGATTTGAGGTTGAGATTTTGTTCAAGAGGTCTTGGCATGTCAAGGTGATGGATTTGTGTGCACAAAGCGACTTGAATGTTTAGAGTTTTTGGTGTCTAACGTATGTCAGCAAGACCGACAACGTGCCTTAAAGAAGGAACGGCTGCTCGGAATGCTTGTGGTTGATCCTTCCGATGATCTTGGTAGAAGCGAAAATCCCCCAACTACTGCCGAGCATCCAAGGGAAGTTTGGTGGCGTGGGGAAGTTGACTGCAGTCGACTCCCCAATCTTGGGAGCGGGATTCGGTGCCTTGTCAAGATGTTAAGCTCCAAGTCCAAGCTGACTAACGGTCAAAATCTAGTAGGCCTCATCCCTCACTCACACATGATGGTAAGTTGAAGGGGTGAGCTAACCCAACCTCATTGTGTAGTAGTTAGAACCTGTCGATCACAGCGGCACAAAGCCAATTCCAAGCCCGAGGCACTACGGCAACGCGCTCTCTGCTCACTTTTGCCATGCAAATGGGCTTGAAGGTCCATCACTGGCAGACTGCTTCTGCTTCCTGGCTTCAAATTCTTTGGGGCTTTTGTAGCAGGTGAAGTCCTCAAGAGAGATTGCTGTCCCGTTTGCGCTTGTAAGCGCAGGATGCCTGTCGTCACTTTACACAGGGCTTGCAGGCCTAGACCACGAATCTCCATTCCCTCAAAGCCTTCAGCGATGGATGCGGGGTGACCGCAAAGGACACAGTCACACACGCAACATCGCCAAGAGCAGCAGTAAGACAGCCTGGCGTTGCTAGCAGTCATGATCACAAAATGTTTCTAGGCGCTTAACGCACAGGTTTTGTTTACAGGTTTTGCCTCAACGATGGACTAAGGAGCCTGTACTTTTCTGGTCCAAGCTGAACGACTTGGTCAGCAACAAGCGCCTGGGCTTGCGGTGTCTCAAGCGTCCCATCATTCACACTTCCAATGAAGCATCCGCAAAAAGGTTGAGCGAAAACTTGAGTGGTACTTCAGGGCATCCTGGAGTCCGTTGGATTTCGAGGAGGGATCCAGCGTTGGAAATAGAATCTGTCCTTCCATTTCTTCTGTCGAAAATAGAGCCTGCTCTTCCACTCCCTTCAGCTTGGAATTATACCCATGGAAGGTATGAAGTCAGAAGAGGAGCGTACACCAACTCGATGAGGTTTGATTCAAATCTGGCTTCGCAGCATCAATGAAAATCTAACGGAGGATTAACTAGCCCTTACTTGATGAAGAAGGTTTCCAAGGAACCCAAACTCAGAAAAAAAAAAACTCGAATCCTGTCCTCTTGATGCTGCGATGATTCGAGCATGTGGATGTGCCTTGCATCCAAGGGCTCTAGGGCTAGCGACCCCCAACACTGCCTTGGGGCTTTGGATGGAAGCAAGAATCCTGCGCAAACATCACAGCTGTTTCCAACAAACAAGCAAGCACCATGTGACAGACTGTTAGGCGACCCCACCTTGTGATGTGTGTTTTGCTACTACTGCAGCTCCTGCTGCTGCTGATGCTGCTATTGACGCTGTTGTGACAACGACAACGAGGACTACTACCACTACTGGGGACCCATCCTCGTAAGATCATCAATGGGCCCTGGTAAGTTGATCCTGCGTCTCTTTGACAAGCACATGTTCAAAATCCATACAATGCATCATTACTTCAAGTTGGCACACCAGTGACAGTGTTCTCACTCATTCTCCAATATCACAGTCATGGCCACTGTTGAAGCTGCAGAGGTCGGTTTTGCGCAACGTGTTTTTTTTCTCGCATCGAGCAGCAGCATGTTTGTGAGAATTCTGCAGTTGGTATGATCGTGCTGACGTGCAGGCATCAGAATGGTTCTGTGGGATGCGTTGAAGCTCTCAATGAAGTGAACTACAGCCAGGCATTTTCGGCCGGAGTCATGGCAGCAGTCGTCAGCTGCGCTAAGGGGTCGGGCCTAAAGCCGAATGGCTCCATAGTCAGACATCACGTCGTTCTAGACTTGGAAGGTTCCCGCCATCAGATGCAGGACAAGCCTCTCATGTCAGGTGACAAGACATGATCTTCTCGCAGTACTCATAGCAGTAGCATTGGTCGTTGAGCTGGTTGTGATGGTAGTGGTTGTCTTCTTGGGGCTACTGTTTCGAAAAAAGCTCACTGACGTGAGATAGGGTCGTCGGGTTGCAGGATGTAGGGCAGGAGCGATTTGCAGCAATCCAGACTGGCAGTAGGGACCATCCTGAAAGAATGTTGAGGGATGCAACTTGGTTTCAGCTCAGCGCTGAGGCAGGTTGGTCGGCAAGAATCATGAAGCCTAATAGTAGGTCAGCTCTTAGCAGCTGCCATGGCCGTCGTCATCATAGCAGTATGTAAAGTCTGCAGTTGTCTTTGTATTTGTAGATGTAGGAAGAGCGGTGACAGCACCAGCATCACAAGCAGCAAAAGCACACTGTTTGAATGCCGTTGTTTCCTGTGTTGTTTTTGCTGCTGCTGCAGCTGCTGCTGCCGCCTTGTTTATGTTTTTAATGTTCTGGAGGTGTCGATGTATTGCTTTCAACATGCGATGAGGTCAGCATCGTGCTTGTCTCATGCTTGTGCTCCAATCCAAGGACACGATATGCTGCTGGATACGCCCCTGGCAGAGCATTTCCTTGATTTCTATGCTGTCTCGCCCAACTCCAAGGCGTGCGGTTGGTCTCGAGGTTGACAGTCACTGTCCTGCCGTGTTTCCATTCCTGAATCACGTCAGGCACTTCAGGCTTCTGCCCACAAAGCAATGGCGCTCTATGACATTTGTGATTTCAAGTTTAGCAGGGTCACAAGGCATGTCTCATCAACCTCTACAACGGACACAACAACAATTATTATTATCACTGCCGCTGCTACTACTACTACTACTACTACTACTGATATTTTGACGATGACGACCATTAGTACCAGTTCGAGTATCACCATTACCACTACTGCCACAGACTTTTGGCAGTACTTTACCCCCAGGGCTGAAGTCATTGACACTTACAGTACTTTGCCCACATGGCCCATGTCTTCTCACGGCTTTGATTTTTTCGAACATCGAAGCTTCCCATGTGTTATGGGTTTGAGGGTCTGAGAGCATGCGATGATGTGTGCAACAATGTCGAAACTTTAAAAGCATACCTCCCCAGAGCATACTGTCATGAGCGCATCCATTTCCAAACCTTGAAAACGTCCATCTTCAAGAGCACACGATCATCAGAGCATCCATGTCCAACTCATATTCACGCCCATGGCTGGGAAAACAAGCCTATGACAATTTTCATGTCCAAACAACCGTCCATCCTCTAGCGCTTACATGGTCATGAGAGCATCCCTGCCCAAACCACAAGAATGTCGTCACCTCAGAGCATACAGTCACAAGAGGACATAATCCAGGAAGAGCATCATCCGCCACACTGGTACCACGTGTGGCCTAATTGTCACAAATCAGGCAGGCGCAGTTCAAAGTGCTCAATTTCAATGCAACTCCCGCACAGACTGAGACGACAGGGCCAACATGTCAGCGTGCGCTTGCTTAAGACCTGTCCTACATTGCAATGAAACAGCAGATCTAGGCCACTAAGTCACTAGACAGGCCTGCGCAAACTCCAGGGCAGCTGAGAAGATCACTGACACAAGTGCAAGGCGCAAAGACAGTCCAACATCATTGAGCCACTCTTCCAACAAAGCAGAATCATCATCTGCAGCCCTGCGCAAATGAGCGCTTATCATGTGGCTAGAATAACATAGCCGTGCATTCCAAGTGGCCCACAGCCAAGTGCGGGCAATTTCCGTGGCTTGCAGCCACAAGGCACCATATACGCATGTAGTAAATGTACAACTTCTACTTTGTAAGAAGTGTGCAATACGATGTGAATATATACTTTCATTTTTGCAAAGAAGTACACAAATGTATATATGGCGCTGAAGTCAGTCAATTTTCCAGCCTGCTTTGTCTTGCTTGGAAGGTGCCCACTGAACCAGGCAGACGTCCAAGTGGAACACTCAAATTTTGTGGCGTTGGCAGTCAGCTTGAGCCTTCTCTACCCTTGAGAGAGACACCACTTGAGCCTTATACTCTTGAACTTTCGACACACTTGAGCCTTGAACTCAATTGAGCCAAAAGCTTAGACTTCAAAACTTTAGGGTGTATTGAGTTTAGAAATTTAGAGTATTACATCTGCATGAGCTTATGATGATAGCAGAAGCGATAACATCAAGACACAAGAGATATTGCCCGGGATCAGAAGCATCAAAGAATTGTCTGCCAAAAGCTCTGAACATCTGACGGTTGGTTGCCTTTGGGATATTTGGGACAGAGAAATATCAAGTTCATTCTGGATTTTTCGGAAAGTCAATCAAAAATTCAATTCCAATCAAAATTGTTCCATCCATACCCATACAGACATCCAAAAGGCAAGGCGCAGGCAGGCATGTCCAAATAACAATATCTTCGTGACTTTGTCTGTCACATTCCATAAGCGCAAGTAGTCGACCCTTGGATGTCTGAGCCCAAAGCATGTCTAAAGCCGAGCAACACTTGGGAGGAGAGGGGTAAAGTGTTTCTTCCACTGCAGTGCTGTTCTGAAAGCTCAACCGAACCCGGCACCAAGCCAGCTGCCCTGGCGCCCGGGCACGGCCAGCAGCAGCAGCAGCAGCAGCAGCAGCAGCAGCAGCAGCAGCCACAAGAGCAGCTCCATGTAGCAAAGGCACTTGCGCAGGGCTGACCTGCCAAGCATTGTTGTTGCTCATGAACTGTGCTTGTCTAATGCTGCTTGCACCGGCTCCTGCAGCATGGCGGCAGGTCGTGCTGACAACTCGGAGTGCTTCTGACTGGGTGAAATCTCGCATGCAGTTCCATGCTGCAGCGAAGCAACACATCAACTTTAACTTCAATAACATACTGGCCTTTGTAGCATGGAGGGTGTGAGGTCAATGGGGTTCGAGGGGCCTTTTCATTGTTTACGGTTTGCTGAGTCTACCTGGGGCGTGTTGCTCAAGGGATACAGTGAACTCCCCATGAACGTGGGTAGATCCCAGCTGGTACCGAACTATGAGTTTCTATCTCAAAAGCTCAGGTTTGACAGCACCCTGGCTGCCCCATTACACAGTCCGTGTGGCTTGAGCCCTGTCTCCAAACATTTTGTTTTGCGGCCTCTCAGGTCATGAGGATAAGTGTGGTTTCAATAGCATGAATTTTGGCATGTCAATGTCCTTTTGGCACTAGGGGTTGTTTCCCTTTTGCAATTTCTCAGCTGCCTCGGGTTGGTGGATTCTTGTATCTTCTTGTCCTGCTATGTCGATGTAGGAGGGTTTACGGAGCAAGTTGCGAGTTGTCTGGCAGCCCGACAGAGGTTTCGACAACATTTGGAGGAAGCTCGCACTCCCACCACTGCAGCCACTGCGGCTCCTGCAAGTTCTTCTTTTTCCACTAGCCTGCTATTGCTGCTGCTGCTGCTGC